GAGGGGAAGGAGGGAGGGGAAGGAGGGAAGGAAGAACCAACTACAGGATGCCCACATCGTTAACCACTGCCTTTCCCACCACGGACTTCCCACAAAAACTCTCTACTTGCAGATTGTCCACTTATAAATAAGCACAGGAGCATGACGAACAGCCACCAAGTGTCGGCCATCACGTGAATTCAGGAGCTGAGCTACACCTCGCGTATGACACTTACCATCCTCATAGACCAGCTTTGCAGTCTGATTAACCTCAGTTACATCCTGAACTGTTTCCGATGCTGCAACCTGAATGGAATTTGCAGATGAGCCTTAGATACAATCATCTATTCCAAGCTTATAAGTCAACAAAACTCACAGCAATGTAAAAGAAGTCTGTATCAAGTTTAACACACATTAATTCACAGTTAAACAAGTATGAAGGACAAAGTAAAATTTTAGAGGCATCTGCTCTGACGTGGTTCACATTTATTCCCGTTTAAAACTCTACAGGTTAGTAGTAGATGCATTTGGCTGGTTAAAAAGAGTAACACTTCCAGTGAGCACAGATTGACTAGATAGTCAGTTAAGTGTACGGCTTTGAGTGTTCCCAGCATAGCTGTACAGCAGCTGTATTAAGTTCCCGAGGACAGGTCCCATCAGATTTAATCACAAGTCTGCAAACAATAGTTCTTCTGCACATCCCATGTTATTTAGTTGGAACTCACCTGGGTGACAAGAATGAACAGTCTTCCATGCAGACGGGAAAGCTTTTGCAAAGTTTTTACTCTGCTCTCCATTAACTGGTACAGCATTCCCAGCTGAGGAATAAGGTCTGGCAACTGCAGAGAAGAGAGGGATGAAGAAAAATGAAGCTGTTGACCAACACATCACAAATGCCTTGTTTGTAAATTTTTCAACTACCTTTGTACGTCTGGGACAAGCAATCCTTGCTCACATTATTCTAGACAGAAGAGAGCTGAGGGTTCACAGAAACGACCTGCAGCCTCATCCATTAATATTTAGCCATGTTTAGAAAAATCACCTACTTTCAAAACATGGCAATTCTTCTACTACTTTTCCTTTCTGCAGTCACTGCTGTAAGCAGGTGTCGAAGCACTATTCGGAAAGCTGCGTAAATGGGAACTGAATCTACACCAGCGTACAAATGCAGCCTCAGCAACGTGTGCAAGTTCTGATGCACAGCAATCTTATAACAAATGGGAGGAAGGACTAACAGCACCAAACAAATTTTTTCTTAGCCGAGCAATAGTCCTCTATCCATCACTTGTAACGCAAGGCTGGACTTCAGTCCAGAAGCTGCGACATTACTTACTGCCCTGCCAACTTTGGCACACCTTTACCCTATAAATCTAGCCATGCCCAAGGTAGTCTCAAGATAAGCATTACAGCCGCAACGCAAATTTAGTTCTATAAGATTTAGCAACACAGGCTAGATTACACTTTGACAGTAATTTTGTTCCCTAACTCTCACAGGTATGACATAACTTATCTTGGTTTGACTTCGGGATGACTATAATTATGTCATGAATGACTAAGACAAACAATTTATAACCAATGTGCAGCAATTTGGCAAAAGTGGCAGAAGTATAACTCTCTGTACATTGATTTGGGCACTGCCATATGTGGAGAGCAGAACACAAGATTCCTGAAGGAAGAACACTCATATTTAAGCATTTGAATCTCATTTTAGTTATGTGCATCAGCATTAATGCAAAATACTTACTGTGGAAAGGTAGGATGCATGCAGAGTAAAAACAGACTTCAGCCATCGAACCATTAGTGAGGCACTGGAAAGAAAAATAAATGCTATCAAAGAGATACTGGCTGAGACACACCCATTTCAGATTCCAGATGCTAAATAGTTCTCTAGAAAGTGCTCCTCTTTCATGATATAAAAAGATTAATGCAGATGGAAATATAAGAGTTTGGCTATCCAGATGAGAGACCTGTCTAAGTTATTTGTTAGGAAAAGAACAGACATTTAAGTGAGGGATTAAACTAGACATTTTCAGGGATCTGTGTTTATGACAACTTTTATGGGAGGTTTCAATGAATAAAAGATGAAAGCATGCTACCTTTTTCTCCACCTACAATGAGGGAATTTTTATTTAAAAAAAACCCAAACAACAACAAATCCAAACCAACACAATTAAGGACACGTAATCTCAGCAATGCTATCCTTACAGCAATATAACAAGATAGAGGGTTTTTTTTACAAATTAAATACAACATCAGGAGATGTCTAAATATATTTGTTAATTAAACTGAACAAGCTATACATCTAATAGTTATTTTATTTTATATATTGATCAGGTCCGCAGTGTCAATATTCTGAGACTTCAGACACATTCTCAGGGTTATATATATATTGCCAGCTCTGTTCTGGTTTTGGACAGAAATATTTTAACGTTTACAAAACATTGCCAGGAGTAAGTAGAAGGAAATCCCTTTGTTTATATGTCCCTGTGTATCTGCTTAGTAAAGCAGCTGTTACAAGCAGGGTTATACGGTTATTTCAGGCATCCTTTTCCCTTTTTAATTTCACTTCAGCCATCCTGACAAAGCACTGCCTTAATAAAAGTTCCTCTTTGCACCCACAATCAGGTGAGAATTTTTACCTCAAGGTGCTGCAGTTTAATTACAGTTCATATGGAAATCAATCATAGGTGGAAGGAGGAACCATAATGCACACACTAGAAAAGTTTCAGGTGATTTAACTGTAGCTGAGTTGTCTCTTACCTGTATGGGTTGCCCTGCAATCTCTTCGTAAGCTAAAAGGACAAAAATAGTCAGCAATAAGTAACAAACACATAATGAGTTTAAAAACCTAACACTACATCCATGTGACAGATCCAATATTGAGGCAGAAAAGATCTCCAGGCATTTTTAGTTTGTTAGGATTAACCATTGGCAGGCTCCAGAGTATTACATCACTGGCTCTACTATCCTCTACGCAGGCTGACATAACTTGCAGAAGCTGAGTTTTGTTACAATAAAACCAGAACTCTTAACAGGCAATATATCCAGTGAAATTTAAAGATGGCAATCATATTGCCAGCTCTGTTCTGGTTTTGGACAGAAATATTTTAATGTTTACAAAACATTGCCAGGAGTAAGTAGAAGGAAATCCCTTTGTTTATATGTCCCTGTGTATCTGCTTAGTAAAGCAGCTGTTACAAGGCAGACAAGTTGGGGAAACAAGTGAAGGTAATATCAGGTAAAGGCTATTTCACAGAACAAATCTCAAGCTCTGGGAAAGACAGTTACATGAAGATCTGTCCATCCACTGAGATTATGTAGTAAAACATCTGCACTTAGATTCTCTGACAAAGGTCCTAGAGAACAAACGCTGCACCTCACTGACCTAAGTCTAAGGAGGAAGGAAGTCTAAGCATTCAAAACTGTGTAATTCAGTTAAGATTAGTACCACAAGTAAAAACTAAATCTTACTTGTGACCAGCACATTAAAATATGAGAAATCTAACCATTAAGACATGTTACAGAATGTCATTCACATAACAAGAGCAACTAATCAATGTTCAGTTTAAACAAAGTAATGCTAGATAAGGCTAAACATGAAAATACTTCTATCCAAATACACATTTTATTTAATATCACTGGATAAGCAGTTCAGAAGCCAAATCCCTTTTAAAATTATTACTAAGTGATGTTGCAAAGCTTAAATATAGCGACTGGGCTTCTGAGCCATCTTCAAAAGAGGAAAGAAATTGTCCCTCAATTTCCAAGTGCTATCTAAACTCACTACTGTAAGTACATGCGTATCTAGCACATTTAGCTCATACAGCTTGCTCTGGTTAGCACTGCTCTTTTCATGTTTCAAATTATCATCCATTTTAATAGTTTAAAAGAAGATGTAATGGTAATTGTTTGCCACGGACTAAACAAGCTTTAGCTTAACCATAATCATTTCAGATAATACTACACGATGTAATGCTCTTCCTAGATTTGATAGCAGCACTTTGTCCTTTGGTTAAGCTTCAGTCAGAGAAGATAAGAATGTATCAGAGAAAAACTAACAATTTCTGTCCTTAAAACTACCAGACCAATTTCATTGGTGCAAATAAAGAGACATATCCTGGATTTTCCCCATCTGGAATGCAAACCAGATGTGGCTTGTATGACAGTACAAGAAATGCAGTCTCTCTTACCTCATGCAGCAGTGGAATGACAGCATGTATAGGCATTCTGGCTACTGTGTTCTTGATTACATTTTCCTTTCTTGTGTTAAGCACTCTCTGTTAAAATGGAAAAATATGATCAGAGAATCATTCAGTTTTAACATGTGCATGAGCAATGAGCAACATCAAAAATGCCTGCCTTTAAATCTTTTTCTACTCCACTACCTTTGTATGCTAAGATGAGGATAACAAGTAAAAGAAGATTTACTATGAAAAGGAGTTCCATTTTTCAAGTCAGCTACAATTAACAAAATAAGACACTTGATTAACCCATCTAAAACAACCTAGCATTGCCTCTAGCCCACCCACTCATGTTAGAAATGAAGCATCACAGGCACGTTAAAATTTCCCTTGCTATTTTGTGTGCTTGACTTCTGTAAATAAATGCCTTTCAGCAATATCTGTGACAAGTAATTTTTATTCAGCATCAAATTCTTCAGATTTCATCTCCCTGCCCCAGAACTATTATTTCCTTCTAGTGCAAGTGCAACAGTAAGCTTTTCAAGTGGAACTGTTGATATCAATGCATTTTTCAAACACTATCTACTTGGAAACTGTACACTCCAGAGACTAAGCATAGATTATGCTCCAGCTCAAGCTAAAGGGAAGATGGCTGCATCAGTAACATCACTTGTAAAACATCTGAACTGTGACATAACAAATTTATCATGAACAGAACTGGCTCAAAGTTCGTGGACTGACTTAGAAAGCAAGCTAGGTAACAACAAAAAAGTAATACCACCACTATCATTTATAATACCACTGCTTTCAGCAACAAATCAGTTGGGAGAAACAATGGGTTCTCGACTGTTCAGCCTCCCTGGCTTTCAGGAAGGCTCCCCACAAGTGTCAGTGCATATATTAAACAGCATACAATGATCTTGTAACACTTACATTTAAGATTTCTGCATCATTGCTTTCCAAGCCCTGAACCAAAAGTACCGCAAAGCTATCTGTTTGTGGAAGGCCACCTGGAGTTTTTACTTTGCTCACATCAATATCCAATGCCTCTAGCCGCTCTTCAATGCTTTCCTGCAGACAGTAAACAAGGGCAGTGCTGTTTCAGTGCAGTTTCTCAGAAACATCTGCTGAAAGCAAAGTACCTAATCTGCAGCATTCCCTCTGATTCTGCTGGAAAACCCACAAATTTTGCATATTCTTTTAAATGTACTGACAGAATAGCCTGAGAAAAGAAAAGAAGATGAAGTTTTGACTGAAAAGCAGCAATATACCTTAGCACAGAGAGAGACAGACAGAAGCGTATGACAAAGTTCTGCAGGAACATGGCAAAACAATGGGTAAGGCACACAGGCTTGAATAAGGGAAAGCTTTTGAGCAGAGGGAACTCTCTCTCATGCAAAAAGGTGGTAACATTAACTTTGCCTCCATGCCAAACAAAGCAAGTTCAAGTTTATAACACCTAAAGAAGTTATAATGATGATTTATGACTCTAGTTTCTCCATTATTGCTGTGTTTAAAAGAGGAAGCACTTTACCTCTGTGTCTCCTGGTTTCCTCTTGTTTTTCTTTTTCTCCTTTCCCAAGGATGGAGTTTTGACAGCTGTACTATGCCCTGGAATGCCAGGCACTAGAACTTTGGTGTCTGAGTTCACAACAGGCGTCTTTACCTAGTAGGCAGAGATAACCACATTTGCATAAATGGTTAGTATCTTGAGCTTTCTTCCAATTGAAAATACTGATTTTATTCTGAGATTCACATACACAGTAAAGCCAGCCTGCCACAACCCATTTTCTTTACATATATATTAGGAAAATCCTACATTTTTAAAAGCAATGAATAACATGAAAACTAGCTGACTTGCTTCAGAATTAACTAAAGCAACCGTCTCTTTGGAATACCTGTGAATCATTTTTCTTACAAGCTTGTTCCATAACACTCATCAAATTAAGTGTATCCAACCAACAAATATTTGGATGTTTGCTAGCAAGAGATACCATGTGTACTAATAGTCAGGCCCATAAACCGCATGCAGATTAATTCAGCTTCCACTGGAAGGTAAGAACTGATCATGAACATCAGCACAATGTCACAGTAAAACGTCGTTACTGTTCACTTCAATCCCACCAATTTTCTTCTAGGGATTGCTGAGAAGCAGAACTCAGTAGTCTGAATTAGACTATGATCACGACGACAAACAGAGCAAACTTCGGTTATACCAAACAAGCTATGGTATCCATCTTCAATGAATGCAAAGGAGATCAAATTTTAAAGGCAATACATTTAATACCCAAGCGCTCCCCTAACCCACAGAGGAGGTAAGGGAGTATGCCACTTCCAGAATATCAAGAATGCTACCTGCTACTTGCAGAACACTTCTTTAACTACACTGCTTCTGTGCAGGCCTTTTTTTGAAGTACCTACCCAAGCTTCTGTACTTGTGGGAGCCCTGCTGGGTGCCTGCTGAGTGATACAAATATAATCTACTACAGTGAGCAAAGCAGCTTCCATATGCTTTGTGTAAAAGTAAAAAAAAAAAAAAAATTTTGTAGCCTAAAAATTTTACTGTAGAACAGCATAGGCGTTAAAATACCACCTCCTTTGCTCACCACACTACTCATTGACCTTCTCCCCACAAGGCATGCTCAGACAGCCAAGAGAAATGTGTCTTCACTGGAATTCAGCAAAAAGCGAAACCAAGACAGGTATCATCACTGCATGCCAGGGAGTTCCTACACCTCTCACTGCATTTCAGCTCTGCTACCCACCAGCTCCAGGACTGAGGAATCAGCACAAAAACCCAGCTGGCTGATGGAGCACCAGATCCTGTAGGTAACTTTAGGGTTAGAAAAACAGCGCGCTCTGCTCACTTCACTGATACTGCAAGCATTTCAGATCTTCAAGGCCTTGAATATGCAGACAGATTAAGAACTTCACAGCCTGTGTCTAAACCCCCAGGGGATCCTGCACGAGAGAAAACGGTGGCAAGTGGCCTCAGCGGACACTGCTGCCATCTAAGCGTCATGCCCACATTCCCAGGTGCCATAACCCTGTAAGTAGGAACACGTGAAGGCCACCTCAAGAAAGAGCCAAAAGGACATGTCCTTTAAGGTTCCATTACATTTTTTTTAGACTCTAAAACAAAGCCATCCCAACTTTACCCCAGACCATCAGGGTCAGAGAGGCTGTACAAACTGACAGACTCTAGGGGAAGGACTGATCTCAAGGAGAAAAGAAACGATCAGCCAGTCCTGTCTATCAAGCAGACCTGCTGAGAACAGGACTTGCTCTCACCTACAGGAAGGTAACTGTGTGCAAGAGCATACTGGGACACACAGCAGCCATGAAGCACACTTTACCCGTTATGGACATCTACAGGTACTACTGCAGCTCTGAGCAGGTCCATCCAGAAATCCAACCTCAAGAGAGGAACAAAATCACATTTCATGCAAAGCTTACCTTTGTTAGAGCAACATCTGTTTTAAGTGACAACACTTTCTGTATGTCCCTTATCAAACACACGTGGGATTCAGTGGTGTTCAAAGACTAGAAGGACAGGAACAAAACCAGTTAATATATTTGAGATTCAACCCTGCAATTCATTATGCTACTGAAATATGAGAACAAATTCCAGAGGTATAAAGTAGAATTAACTTTTTTTTCCACTCTAGAACAGCAGCTGCTTTGCCCATCTGTCTTTTGTTACCAGATCTCTATGGTCTCCAAAGAAGCTCACACAGGTAAACTGAATCAGTATGAAAAATACTTTCAATGGCCTAACTCAGTAACAGCTGAAATGGGAAGAAACAGCCAGCAATAATGTCAAGTTGTATTTTAATTGAAAGAATGGAAGAATACAAAACACCTTTCAAAACAGCTCAGGGGCAACAGTCATAGCTCCCAGAAAAGTGGGAAGGAATAAGCTTTGTCTTGCTATACAATTTCAAAAAAATAAAAAAAAAGGAAAAAAAAAAAATCCCTCCAACTCAGAGCAGTATGCAGTCCATATTACAAAATCTAAAACCTCTCCAGTAAGTTTTACATACCACTTTCTCTATGATGGGCTGTAAGGTGTTTCCATACACAAGCAGCAGAGACTGTTTGTCTGCGCAAAATGCAGCTGCTAGAATAGGGACTGGGTTTGGTGTGGAGTCCCCATCATTTCCAGGCGTTGCTATCTGGATAGTACAGTTTGATGTTAAGGGTTTTTTGCAATAACTGGAAAAAAAAAAGGAATGAAAAAATTCCAAGAGGTTTAGCTTAAACAATATCTTGCACATCTAAGCACCTTTCATTAGCAGGTCCTCAGCAAACTCAGCCACTTCACACCTTTTACAGGTGGCTAAAATGAGGTACAGACACACAAAATTTTGGCTAAAGCAACACTTAATACCAAGGTGCAGCACAGCCCCCAAGAATAAGTTCTCCAAAAATGTGTCCAGTAACCCAAGACAAAACCAGCTGGAACTTGGTTTGTGAACAGACACAAGAGTTAAAAGGCAGCAGCATGACAAGACTGAACTTCACCTTAAAGTAATCCCAGACCTTTTCCAAAGACACCCTCAAGATGAATACTAACTTACCCATTTAAGATATGTTCAAATAAATGCAACTGCCCATCTCTGCACACAACTGCTAACTTCACAGGCTGAAAGAAGGCACAGTAAAAGATTTTAATTAGATCAAAGGACAAATCTCCCCTAAGTACAAGACATCAACAGACAGCTGCATGGCCATGATTTGACTTTTTTCAGTAATTAAACACATTGAGGATATAACTAAGTCCATAAGGAAGATCAAAGACATTAACATCTCAGGAACATTTAGTACAACTATTAGGAGACACAACGATAACTCATAACTGTACTTAACTGTATCATTACTGATATATCCAAATTTGAACAGTTTGCACAGTAGCAGACATATGTCATCATAAGCAGCAAAGTTCCAAACCTATGGTACCCAACACATCTAGAGGCACAGGTCTACAAAGGTGCTGACACTATAAATAGGCTTAGAGGAAAGAACCTGAGATGAGTACTCTGAGCAATTAAATGACAGGTGCACATTACAGAATACTCTTCTCTCCAATACATGCAGTAAGAGGGCACAACTGGAAACATTAGAAAATATAGCATGAAATACTGTTTTTAGAAAAGGAATCTAAAGGCAGCAGGAGAAAAATGTTTTAAATAATTATAGAAACAGTCTGTGAACATGTTTCACACGCAGACATTTTTCATAAGACAACTACTTTGAAAGATTTGTACTTGCTGAAATTCAGAGACTTGAGGAATGCACACTGCTACTTTAACTCATTAAAGGCTAGTTAATTCAAAATGCAGGTACACTGCCAAAGCCACGTGAGATCAGAAAAAAAACAGGACCCTATCCAAACTGTATTTTTAGAAAGAATTATTTTTGTGTTTTTTGCTGCCAAGTTCTAACAATCATTTTGATTACTAACTTGTTATAAATAGGAAACAACTGACATTTCTGCCATCACAGGCAAAATTCCTGAAGAAAACAGTGAGTTTGCACTTAGTAGCTTTGAAAATGAGTATTTCAAACTATCAGCTTTATAAATGCACCTGTAATAAATACCCTTACACCTGTCAACTGGCATTCAGATCTCATCTCTGCATAACAGAACCCAAACACAAACCAAGCTTCTTTCTTTACACTCTTAAAAGGAAACTGATGTGACAACTGAAAATTGTTGAACATACTTGGTTACAAACTACTGCTCCTACCTCTTCTTTGACTTCCGATACAGTCAGGTCAATAAAAGTTGGTTCATCTGTTACTGTGAAAGACATCACAGCATTCTTTTCTTTCCTATCTGATCTGATCTGCCTGGAAGACACAAACAGTACACATTATTTACCATAGCACAAACAGCACACTCTGCACCTGAAAAGCATTATAAAGCCTATAAATCACCAGTGACTGTGGTAGCATCTACCTCACCCAAATATACTCATGTTGTAATTTCAGCTTTCAGCTTAGAAAGTGTTCTAAATTCCAAGTGCAAAGTAACTCCCAAATGAAATTTAGCAAGAAAACTTAGCAAAAACCTTACAGTAAGTATAAAGAACATGGAAGCCTATCACGCAATATGTTCTCGGCATACACTACTGATTCAAACGGCAACTGGAAGCATGCTCAGACACAGCCAAGGAAATTCACGTCTTCATTCAACAATCGGTGAGTTGAAACCACCATTTAAGAGATCATCACTGCATTTCTCCAGAGTGCCCCTTCTGCTTAACCTTCTGTTTAATCAGAGTTCAGAATACACTTGTTGAGTCTATCCTTAACACTGATCATAATCAAAGTTACAAATTAGGAAAAGCTTACATACCATACACTCAGTAATCGGTCATGTATAGCTCCAGACAAGAAATAAAGCCCTGTAATTCCATCAAAGGGCTTATTTTCATTCATAGGTTTCACTGTGGTAAACATTAATGATGACACTGATGTAGCATGGCCTGTGAAATGCTAAGAGAAAAAAAAGAATCTCTCAGTGACTGCCATAAGCAGTCATATGGCAAAAATTTAAACGTTAGTTAACAAAAAACATTAGGAAAGATTTAAGCATTATTAAGTCAACAAGAACATTTCAGTGATTTTTTTTTTTTTTTTACTAGCCATCAGCTTCCTTGCATTTCTCTATTTCAAGTAAACTTTTTCTGACCCTCCAGGTATTTATCAGAAGTTAAAAAGTTAAATGTGGAATCAAAGGCAAAATCACTGGGACTAAGAAATCACATCTACCTGTACTGCTGTTACTGTCAGACAGCACTTTTTTTTTTTCCCACACACCATTTTACACTTCAACTTTTACACTGAAACTAGATTCATAGTTTCATTCTCAACTGTGAGATGAACACACAGGTCTGCTGACACACTAAGGCTGTTCAACCCCACACACACCCCTTCTCCCCCAAAAAATAATTATTTCTTCAATTTCCTTTCATAAATAGTGGGTTTGGTCGTCAAAGGATCCAGACATACATGGTTGTTGCCATGTGCCAGCAAGTCCACAGTAACAGCACATGTGTACACACTTACCTGACAGCAAGTACCAGCAGATTCAGAGACAAGCTGCATCCTACCTGCTAGCAGGCAAGAGGACATGGCTGCGTTCACAGAACTGCTAAAACATGGGAATTTGTTCATGCCTGAGCCCTGCTCAGGGAGCAACAAGGGGTTTGCTCCTATGCCTTTCAACTGTTTCAACAGCAAAACTGGTAATGCCACCAGTTACATGAAATGTAGCAAAGAAACCTGAAGGCTTCAAGGAGGGACTCATGTTAAAAGTCGGAGCTCATGAACAAACCCACACCAGCAGTAACTAATACTGTGGTGAATGAAGTCCTGCCAGAAGGGTATCAGAAAGGGACAGTAGTAAAGAACAGCAACCATCTTTCTGCTACAGGCTTGAAAAAGGGTGCTGGTAGCATGCTCAGACACAGCCAAGGAATTTAATGTCCTCATTCAACCCTCAGCAAGTTGAAACCACAGTTAAAGGTATCATCACAGCAACAGCTTCCAGCAATCCCAAAAGTGCCAACTGTCTCCTGACATCCAGTGAAATTTTCAGATGTCCTATCAGGAACCACAAGATACGTAACGTCACCAATCAAAAAGGATATTTTTTTGCATCTAGTTTAATGAAGTTACTTACTCTGTAGACTTCTTTGGTCTCCAGGTCCCACAGTTTTATAGTTCTACCAGCTGACAGCAGCATTTTCCCATCTGGACTGATGCATAGAGAGGTAACACTGCTATTGTCACCTTTCCACTTGCTAGAATTTGGATGGAGGGTTTTCGTACAAAGGGAGAAAGATGGAGAAATAGAAAAAACAGTATTCATTAGCATAATCTCAAAACGCACATCAACCATGCTGGAAAATTTAAGGTAAAAATTATTTTAAAAAAAATAATTTAAGTAGTCAAAGACGAGGGCAAAGCTATTCTGTTTCTGCTCCTCTCCTTCAAATTAGTTTACACAACAATACAGGAACTAAAAAACATAAAGCTATTTCATACTGAACAACTGTTGACTTTTTTTTTCTCTTCAATAAACCATGACACCTATTCTGTTCTGAATTCCTCTCTCAAAGTTCTCTGCTTCTCAAAATAGGATAACAGGAACCATACCATTTCAAGACTTCTCTTTGCACCATAATCCAAAAAGCTTACACCGACCCATTCAGAAAGGCCTTCTCAACACTAAAATTCAGAGTTCCAAGGCCCATTCAGTTCCTCTGGCCCTCCTCCCAAGTCTGTCCATGACATGGACAATAGCACTACTCCAAAAAAAAAAAAACACCAAAAAAACAAACAACAACTGTCATGACAAGTTTGCTCTGCTTTGAAGGAGTCCGAGTACTACATGTTTCTCAAAGAACAAAATTGCAACGAAAGCATTAACATAAATCCTTTACAGTTAGGAAGTAGCCTGCAACTCATCACATTCTGATTGTAAACAGCTTATTTGGAAGTATTTCCAGAGCACTTTCACATGCCCAAGCAGCACCTCTCTCCTTTCTTCCAAAGCAAAGCCCGCTTACTGTATCACTTTTGATTAGATCTCATAGAAGCTGAAAGTTTTACTGCCTACAAACTTGACAGACAACATTACACCTTCCAGAGAGTATGACAAGATTTTGTATTCTCTTCCAAAGAAAAGGTCATGACTAAGAATTTCAAACTATTTAATAATGTTAACCCAAGAAGGTATTTTTAAACGTACTATGAAGACTAGTCAAAACTAGACTGCAGAATATACAACCCAGCAAAAATCCGTTACTTTTTACCTTGGATACTCTTTCCATAATTTTACAGGAAGGAGTTTTAAATAGGATATCATGAAACAAGAAGCTGCATAAGGAGATGTACAGAAGGCCTGAGCATTCAGAGTATTTAAGACATGAAAAACCTACAACCAGAGAAACAAGAAGTCACCCAGAATGCTTTAGACTACCTCTCCAACACCCTGTCTTGCCTCTTCAGAAACTCTCTCTTCCCCAACAGCTTGTCCCTCTGCCAGAGGTTTCAATGTATGTTGCACAGACCTCCTGATGTGGTTCTATGGACTACTTCTACAGTAATTAAAAAGTCAAGCCTAAAGCCACATGGTTTCAGCTCCCCATCTAGCAGTCCATGCCTCCATAGGAAAATGCCTAGAAGCCTGCAAATCAAAAGTTGAACATCACTTCTCTACGCCAGGAGCAACCACCCTGAATTCTCCATGGGATATGTAAGGATTCATTTCCAGGTCCTGAAAAGTGTTAAAAGAATGCAGGCAATCTCAGACATACCCTGGGCACGAGCAATCATTTTTGGATAATTTACTCCTTCTAGTCTCATCAATTTAGGTAAAATTTTAGAGAACTGTTTTCTTCTACTCTTTCTAATTTTATTTACCTTGGGTATAACTCACAACATCACCAGAGAAAAATTTCAGGTAGAAAGCATGATAATATATTGCTGGTGTATACTTTTAATGTACACACTTTGGGAATGATTTTTTGTTGCCACCTTTAAAATTAAATAATACAATGCCTCTAATTACCTATTATGACCACAGCCCTCAAAAAAAGCAGTGGTATGAGACAGGGGCAAAGGGAAACAACCAAGATGAAGCATGACAGGAAAAAATTCTCACATTTCCTGAGAAAGCAGCACGACTGGGACCCATCTCAAGTACCTGTACATGAACACACATGCTATGGGACACAAACAGGGTGAATTAGGTCTCCATGGGCAGCTTCAGCGCTTTGATCTCACTGAGATCACAGAAGAACAGTGGGATAGCTTGCAAGACAGGAGAGGTGCAATAAATGGACCTTTAGGAAGGCACTTCAGCAAGAACATGCCAGGAAGGCAAAAAAGCAGAGAGGTTTCTCTGCACAACGGGTAGCATGAATGCATGGAGCTTTCTTCTGAAACAGGCAAAGGGCCAGTGGAGAACTTACAGGTACGTATGAGAAGAGACCAACAAGAGCGACGTGGTAGGCATCTGCTACAGATTGTCCCATTAACTAAGAAATAGGTTAAGTCGTCATAATTCCACACCCTGGTTCTTCTAAGGGGCTTTAACCACCCCAGCAACTGCTGGAAGGGCAGCACAGGAGGGCACAAGCAGTCCCAGAGATTGCTGGCAAGTGCTGAAGACCTTTTCTTGATGCAAGTGATTTACAATCATACTATGAAAGGTGCTTTACTTGATCAGCTACTCAAGGCAAGAGAGAGAAAAGGCAAGAGAGAGAAAAGGCAAGAGAGAGAAAAAAAGAACTGGTCAGGGATGTCATGGTTGATGATGATCTCCAGCTATAGCAACCACAAGACAATGGAATTTAAGAACCTAAAAAAATGAGCAATATAAACAGCAGAATTACAACCTTGGACTTCAAAAGAGTAGACTGCAACTTATTCTGAGAACTAATTGGCAGGATCCCACTGGAGGCTGCCCTAAAGGGCAAAGGGGCCCAGGAAAGCTGGTTGCTGCTCTTGGAAAACCTCCTCAAACCAAAAGAATGGTCCATTCCAAAGAGCAGAAAATCACCAGCTATTGCAGAAGGCTGGCTTGGCCAAGTGAGTAACTCCTGACTCAACTCAAAAACACAAAAAAAGAAGTATAGAGAAGGTGAAAGTGGAGATACGTTACACAGAGGAATATAAAAATATTGTCCAGGCATGCAGGGACAGAATTAGCCAATGCTTAGCTGGTGTTCAAACCAGCAGGGAATATGAAGGCCAACAAAAGGACATCTACATACAGCACATCAGCAGCAGTAAGATGATAACTGAGGAAAGTGTGGGCCTGCTGCTGAATGGTGGTGGGAGTCATTCAGAACACAGAAAAAGCTAAAGCAGCAAAGAGGCAAAGTCTCCCCAGCCTCTCACGTTCCCAAACCTAGTACCAGAGTCAGAGGGAGCAAAGTACTCCCCATAGTAAAGGGAGATCAAATTAGGGATCACAACAGCAAATCCAAGACATGCAACTCCTTAAGACTGAGTGGGATGCATCCAGAACTGCTAAGGCCAGTGCTATTACAAGACCACACTATCGTTTTGAGTGGCCACGTAGCTCAAGAGAAATTTCTGATGACTTGAAAAGAAAAAAAAATAAATACATAAAGAGAGAGACAATATATCCAATGAGAAGGAGAACCCAGGAAACAACAGGGAAGATTATACAACAAATCCACCTGGAAACCATTTCCAGGCACACAAAGGTCAAAAAAGTGACTGGGAACATCCAGCACAGATTTACAAATGGCAAATCATGCCTAACCAACCTGACTGCCCTCTTAAGGAGACAACTGTCTTGGTGGATGAGAGGACAGCCACGTATGCCGTTTAACTCGACTTTAGCAATGTTTTTGACAATGTCTCACATAGTATCCTCGCAGCCAAGTCAGACATATATAGACTGAATGGACGGACTCTAAGGAGCAGTAAGATCTGGCTGCATCGCTGAGTTCAAACAGTCATGGTCTTTGGTACGAACAAGCTCTATTTTGCTCAGTAGTACTTTAAACAGTACAGCCCGCTCAGACAGCCAAGTGGAACTGTCCCCACTGCACATCAGTAGTGAGTGAAACCAAGTGGGTTATCATCACAGTAAGGCCCTTTGAGCAAAGCCAGGTGCATGTAACTGATTTAATTGGGATGAGGTGTTCCAGTATCTGCTCCCCCATACATCCAAGGATATTTTCTAGAAGTTAGATTTTTCAGCGTCACAAAAGTGACTGGAAGCCCATGTCCCACTAAAAGTTAGCATGGAGGGACCCAAATCCCCCTCAGTGCAGTTACTTGTTTTGTCTAGTCTTTCCAATATACAGAGGAAGAAACCCAAACTATGAGGATTACTTTTATCCCTTAATAAAATCACTTCCAATCTCACAAAAATAATAGCCAACAGTCAGTTTGGTACAGTGGGCATGAAGCCTGGATAGCAGAGTGCAGCATTTCCAACAGGGCCCCACTAAAACCTGTGAGGGAGGAAATACACAAAAGCAAGTGTGAACAAACTTGACCGAAAACTGGCATCACTTACCACTTTACTTTGCAGGTCTGTGTGTTCCATTCCACAATATGTTTGTCCTCTGAACAGCTATACAAGCAGCAGTTGTCCTGATGCCATCTCACACAGTTTACTCTACTGTCATGACCACCATCCTACAAAAGGTAAAGAGGGTCAACTCATTAATAAATCAAGAAGTCTTGACTACCGAGTCTTCCTCATACCAACATCATCAACAAGCCGCTCTTTCGCAAACTAAATTCAAATCATTGACAACTTCAAGAGACAGTATGGTTTTGAAGACCAATATACATATACAGTTATGCAAGTTAAAAATATTTCATATTTTGATTAAGTACATACAAGTATTTGAATTAATTCGTTCTACCACTCCAGAGTTAACAAAAAAATTGTCCTGCCCACTATTTTTAAGCACACAGCCAAACAAGGCTGTCTGACAGTATGAAATTTGCTCAAAGGAAAGGCTAGCACAGATGTCCTGCTGACAGTCATCTAAGTGCCTGCTTGCTTAAGCACATTCAGAGATGACTAGCCTTCCCTTTGTACTCGGC